CACTTGGCTGCAGGAATGAACCGCAAAGCAGCTGCCATTCTCTTCTATCAGACTTGCGGTATCTTTTCTTTTTCTCCACTCTCCTTCTGCTGTGCTGTTCTTCTAATTTGTAAAAAGTCTCAAAAGTATTTTTTGTCCTTGTTGCATTTTTAATTTGTATTCCTATGTGAGTCTCTTTCAATGTTTTTAGTTGTTACCAAAATCAAAGTTTTGTAATTACATCAACCAAAGTAGCATTTAAACCACATCTTTTTTAGAAACTTAATTGAATCGGAAGTGAAATTAAACCAAGAAATAAATTAGTAAATGAGGTTGTTGTTTGTTTCTTATCTAGTTCTAGCTTCAGGAGATTTCTTAAAAGTTAACCAAGAAGTTCCATTTAGCGATATCTTCATCTTCAGAGGGAAAAAAACGTAGCAGCCAAAAGCCACAAGAACAAGGTTCAATATCTAAAACTAAATCTTCACCTTTTTCGCAGACACCTACTTTAACTAGTTGATTTAGTTTAGATTGACATCTGAAATTTACTCAATACCGTGACACACATATAGTTTAATATAATTCTTACTAAAATAGCATCTTATTTTCCATATGTATTTAGACAAAGAATTATAGTATCTCTAGCCTTAAATTTGAGGATTGCAAGGAGAGTAGGTTAAGATTTAAGTGGCAGAAACAACAGTGCCAATTGTAACTATACAATATTCATTACCCTTTACTCCAATCAAATCTTTTCTCACTGCTTTGTTTCTTATTACTAAGTCTACCATGAATTACAGTTGTGTTGCTGTCAATAGATTAGTTAATTTCATACTATTCCTAGTCTATGTTATTCTATTTCTACTTAGATTAAGTAAAGCCTTTTCAAGTTTATTTAAATAACAACTTGCTTTTTTAGGATGGTTGGATAACCACTGTTTTTTAAAATTATTAATTTCTTTATTTTTTGTTATGTAATGTTTAGAAAAACAATAAACTATTATTATTTTTCTTTTTGTCAACGGTTGAAATATTGAATGTGTTCTGGTTTTGTTTGATTATCATTTACCACTTTATTTTTTGTTTTATGTTTTTGAAAATTAAGTTTATTAACCACTCTTTTTATCTATGTATTTTTTTTTATCTTGTTATCAACTTTTTAATAACATTTTTCAAAATCTAAGTCAAATTTTGAAAATTAAAAAGGAGAAATTAAGAAACCAACAATAACATTTTAGTTCTAATTTAGAAATGAAGAATTGAGTTACCAACAAAACATAATCTTATAATGGAAACAAAAAGAAAACAGGAAAGAAAAAAGAAAAAATGGAAAAAGAAAAACCAAAATAGGAAACAAAAGAAGATTACTAAATGGATCTATCTTGTCATAAATTAACAGAAGTGTGTGTTTCAATTCCTTTTGATAACTTTTGTATATTATGAGTAAATTGTTGGGATGAAAAATATATATATCAATTAAGTACTTCAAAAAAATATAGTAGATTTTTAAGCATTTTAAAACATTTCAAAAGAAATTTAGCCATATAGTTAAACATTGAAAAAAAATATTCTTAATTAGTTTAAAAAATATTTAAATACTATTTTGCTTCAAGTTACTTTCGGTTTTGATTTGGTCGTTGTACTTACAACTTTTGTTTATTTAAAAATTGGTACGTCCAAAAAGTCTATTTTGGGTTCTATACTTTTTAAAAATGACCCTTTTGACCCATTTATTTTTTATTTTTAACTCATTTCTTTCAATCATAATGTTTAGTATGTCAATTCACTCATTAAATTTCTTGGAATGTAATCGTAAATTTGAATTAAAGAATTTTTCTTGTGTATAAATTTTATGTTAAAATTTTGCAAATAAGGACCAAATTTATCATTGTTTAGAAGTACAAAAACTAAAATAAAAAAAAATTAAAGTACGTTGATCAAAATATATGTTTTGAGAGTATAGAGATGAAAATAGCATTTAAAAATTAATAAAAAAACCAATATCGATGAGTTTATACAAATTGTTAGTCTTAACCTGGTTCTAAATATTCATCGACATGTCGACATTTACATCGACATATTCATGTTTCCAATCGACATTTTCATCATAGTAAAAGAAGATCGACAAAATATAAAAATATCAATAAAATGTCACTAATATATACATAATATTAATATTAATCATTTTTAACAAATTTATAAATAGAAAAAAATATTTATTTGTTAATTTAAATATTTGTCATGATTTTTTAATTTTTCTAACTTTTTACAAAAATATCATTGAGTGATAGGTTTTTACGTATCATTGTGCACTAAATTAAGATTTTGGAATGAATAGCTTGTTAACCACTCATTTACAACTCATTTTATTCTCCACAATTAATTAATTAATTTTTTTGTTGATAATGGTGACAAATCATATGGGGCATGTGCATGCATACTTCACCATAAATGCTAATTTCTTCAAGTCCTAAGAATTTCCCTAATAAATTAATTTCCATTCCCATTTATTAATTAGATAAATCCCCCCATTGCACTTTAAATCTCAATGATTCAAAAGGGAAATACTTTCTAGTTCCACGTCATCTCACCCTTCTTCTATGTTGATAATGATGGAGATGGATATGTATAAAAATAATTTATAACAAATATTCAAAATAACAAATAAGAATTTTAATATTTTCAAATAAACTAAAATTTGTTAATATTAATATTATATCTATATTAGTGATACTGTGTCAATATTTTTTATATTTTGTCAGTTTTTTGTGATACTATGAAAATGTAGATTTACCTCTTATGTCGATATTGAATCCATGAACATATGACAATGTCGATATGTAGATGAAAATTTAATACTCTGATCCTATTAAACTAAATATAAGTTTGAAATTCAAGAAAGTATCTCATAATGGTTTTCTGTTAGAAAAAGAATTGCAATCACCTTTTTTTTCTTTAACATCTCGTTCACTAAATTATGTTCGAATTAACCATTGGATTTTAGTACGTGAATTTCCATGTCAACATATTAATAACTATATTCCTATATTTAATTTGCTAACAAGATTGCATATATGTGGCAAACGTCATGTATGTTTGTTTATGGAGACTTTTGATACTAATATCCGCAATTTTGGTAATCAATTGAAGGCAGCAACTAATCCGTTATCTAAAAATCCCTCCGTTTGTATAAATTTATAAAAAGATATAAAAAATTTATTTGTAGTTTTTGTCTAATCAACTAACTTCCCCGTATTTCATCTTCCTCGATTACGAGAAAGAAATGCAAGAATATGGACTTTTTCTAAAGCATAATAAGTTGTCAATTTTTCAATGGGGCGAAAGACAAAATTTGATCCTCACCGAGGAGCCAAGCATTTTCCATAAACTTGATATCAGCATTTATAAATCTATTACATTATAAAGGTTTATTTTATAGATTTGTACTAAAAAAACTTCATTTAATTTTTCTCATAGTATAACTCTACTAGTTAATACATATTTTCTCTGACCATCCGCCCTCTCCGTTTAAGCTCCCCATGGTTGGGGCGGGGTCATTTTGTTCCTGTCATAAATAAAAGTGTGTGTATACACACAAAACCTTAATCCTATTCTATCCATTCTATTGTTTTTTTTATTAATATATCTTGAGTGTCCAAACTAATTTGTATCCACCTCGACTAATCTCGCACATGATTCTCCATGGGAAACTTATGTAAATGAAGATCCATCGTTAGGAATTAAGCTAAATTTCTCTTAAAAAATATTTAATTAAAAATTTATGTTTAAAAATAATAACAATAAGTAGGAAATAATTTCTAGCAGGAAATCTTCAACCAAATTCCCACAAAGTATAGTGGAAAATTTCGGGGATGGGGATTGAAATGGAAAATACTTGGTTCATTACCACGAGTAACAAATTTTGTCTTGACCACCATTGAAAAAATTGACAACTCATTATGTTTTAGAAAAAGTCCATATTCTTGTATTTCTTTCTCGTAATTTTCAAACATTTTTCTCTATGACATAGGTGTCAAACATTTATGAGGACAAGCAAAATATTTTTAGATTGAAATAGGGGGCAGCAATAAGAATGGGGAAGTCAACACTCAAAAAACTTATTTATACAACTTTAAATTGAGGGCGATCTTTTATTTATTTTGACAAATATTAAATAGGATACAATTATAAATTTAATTAGTACGAAAAGATGGCATAAATTTAAATCCAAGATTTCCACTTAAATTGCCCACCGTAAAGTCAAATTTACCATTTTTTTGCAGCGTAATACCAAAATAGGTAAATTGGTCAGCAAAGTGGTTTGTTAATTTTATAAGGAAAAACAATGCTTATTGGGGATCATATTCAATATTTTTCTTTTATTTTTCAATCAAAAAGTTTGATATGAAATGGAGATGAAAAAGCTTCTAGATGAAAAAAATCGTGACTATTGTATACGTTCAATCTACAATGTTTTGTCAACATGAAGATTGTTGAGCAATTAGCAGATCTATAATTTAGAAGTCATGAGATTGAATTTCTCCACCACTAATTCTTCCATTAAAAAAATGTCTTAAATTTTACAATCATTTGAAATTTGATTTTCTCAAATTTTTAGATATATCAAATTAAGTATAAAATATATATATATACAGTACGTCATTGTTTGAGCTCCATGATCACCGAGGGTATATTAGAACTTTTTCTTTCTTCTCTATTAGACTTTATAATTTTGCTATTTTTATAAAATTGAAAAATGGCTGCTACTTTGTAAATTTTTTATTTTGCGAGTGCCCCTATATAATTTTTAGCTCAAATTCGAAACTTTTAGATTTCTTTATAAAAATTTTAGAGACCAATAAAATAAAATCGAAGTAAATTTTAGAGATCAAATCTATATTTTGACTGAAACTGAAACGAAAGTCCCATAGGTATTCGTTAGAGAGACCCAAATCCCCAATTTTCTTATTTAGGGTTTCGTAATTTTTTCTTTTCTTTTTTAATTTTCCTTCAATATCGAATCTCTCTCTCTCTCTGTTCTTCCCTTTCTCACTCTTCTCTTCACTCTCTCTCTCTCTCTCTCTCTCTCTCTCTCTAATGTGGACTCAATGGCTGAGATCGCCGACCAGAGTTCAATCTCCGGCGGCGGCGAAACCGCGTTCTCGCCATTTCTCCTGCTCCTCCTTTAAAGACATTCAGGATCTCTGCCGCGAAGATTCCGAGTCCGATTCCGGATCCGATTCGCCTCCGACCACTCCAAAGCGGCCCTCAATCTTCCACCGCGTTCGTCTCTCCACCTCCGTCCTCCGCTCCTGGTCCCACCGCCTCCCCGCCGCCTCCCGCTCCCTTCCGGACTCCGATCGTCGCATCGTCCTCTACCATACCTCTCTCCGCGTCGTTCGCCGCACCTTCGAGGACTGCAGAACCGTCCGATCCATCCTCCGAGGCTTCCGCGTCCCGATCGACGAGCGAGACCTGTCCATGGACTCGAGATTCGTGGACGAGTTTCACGAGGCGGTCGGCGGGAGGAATCTGAGTCTGCCTAGAGTCTTCGTCGGCGGTCGGTACATCGGCGGAGCCGAGGAAATCCGGCAGCTCCACGAGAGCGGCGAGTTGAGGATGCTAATCGAAGGCCTTCCGGAGGTGAAATCGAGCTCTTGCGAGGTATGCGGAGGGATTAGATTCGTTGTGTGCGAAGAATGCGACGGAAGCCATAAGATCTACGTCGAGAAATGCGGATTCAGATCGTGCAATTCCTGCAACATCAACGGCTTGATTCGCTGCCCTTCCTGTTCATCGATGCGGCTGCGGAGCACAGGTTCGTATCGCTAACCAAAACAAAATTAACGATCAAATAAAATAAAATTAATAATGAATTAACCATTTCCATGGAAATTGTAACACAGTTTTAGTTTGATTTTAGTTTAGTTTAGCTTTAAATTTTAATTGTAAAATGGTAGAATTTTGAATTTTAGATCTCTATATATATGCCTTATTTTTCTCTCCAATCTGTTCCTCTTTCAACTCTATTTTGCCCCTTTTATTTTTGGCATCTGAGGGAGATTTCTTCCCTTGTTTGTTTCCCATTTCGGTTTAATCCTCTCGGACTAAAACCTCTCATTGTGTTCAATTTTGAATGGTTTGTCCTTCTAGAGTTTGATGAAAAAGTTGAGCCATGTAATTTTAAGAAAACTATGAATAAATTGTAAAAATTACTCATTGTAAACCATAAACTATTAAATTATTAAGTTAACTTTCTCAACTTTATTTAGTCCTCCATAAACTTTCAAAGTGATGTCCCCTAAATTTTTACTTCTTGGTTTCAATAGATTATTAAAACTTTCAATTACGTATCAAATAAATCTTTGTTATTAATTTCGTCAAAGATCAAACTTATCATTCATTTAAACCCTTCAAAAATATGGAAGTTAAGTGTATTAGAGTTGTAGTAATTCAATCAATTACTATTAAAAAAAAAAAAACCTCAATCAATTATTACTTTTTACTATGGAGGGATGAAAAAAGCATTATTAAAGATAAAAGTTCAAATGACCTTTTCTGAAATAGAAAGAGACCACTAGTAGAGTAGGAGTAAACTTTTTTTTTTTCTTTTTGCTCTTTTACTTTTATATAATCATTGTTTTTTTTTTTTTTTTGAAGCATTATATTATATAATCATTGTTAGTAATGCATGATTGTGCATTTTTCTAATGTTTATATATGTATTTTTAGTACCATACATGTGGGGTATGTAGATTTGAAAAACTTTCAATGGAGCAGATGAGGTCATCGCAAAGCTAGCTAAAATAATTATTCTATATAAATTGAGGTTTATGTCTATCACGAAAAAAAAAAATATCAATGTCACCTTTTAACCTTTAAAATATTCTTTTTAAGATATAGATTAATAGAAAGGTTTTAGAAATATCATGGAATGATTTAGTGGTCAATAAGTGCCAATGTAAATAGTAAAGGACTTAGAGGGAATGAGTTCAAACCATGGTGGCCACCTACCTAGGATGTGGTTGGCCTGTGATTAGTCGAGCTTGCACGCAAGCTGACTCGAAAACACGAATTTCAAAAACAAAAAAAATATTTATATATATATATATAACATACAATTTTATTAAGGTCGTGTAAGGAAATATAGTTAAAAATAATAATAATATTTACATATAGGCTTAAAAATAAGGTATTATTTACTCAAATTTAATTAGCAAAATCAACTTCACTTCTTAACCTTTCTCAATTTGTCGTTAATGTGATACATCATTGGGAAAAAGAATAAAAGAAAGAAATAATACAACATTGGTTTGAATAACTTAATGATAAATATTCAATTATAATGCAAGGAGATGAACTTGCAATTATCATTTCTAGAAATGACAATTTTCCAACTTTTAAAACTATAGCAACTCTTTCTTTTTTTTTTTTTTCTTTATTAGTATTTTATTTACCCTACTATAGGAAATCACCTTGTAGGTCTTTATTTTTTCATAAAGAGAAAATAGAAAATATACAAAAAGGCATTTCAGAAAAAAACAAAGCCCAACAAAAGGGAATTGGCCTATAAAAACTCCGATCCAAAAAGATAACATCCCTATATATATAGTATTTATTTTGATATTCTATAAAATATGGCTCTGTATTTTTTCATTAATAAGATTTAGTATTATTTTTTTGATAAAAAAAAACAACACTGCATTAAAAAGAAATAATACTAGTAAGAGTTACATTAGAGGAGTATTATTGTTAAAAGAAATAATGTATTATTTCATTGATAAGATTTAGTATTATTAAATGTTATATTGTACCCACCAAAAAATGAAAATTGACTATATATACACTTTTTTTCAGCTCAATTATTATAAGGCTGGAAGATCGAATTATCAACCTTTAGGATGGTAGTAGATATTTTATCTAATGTGCTATGGTTGGTCTGGTGACAAAAATATTTGTTGAGATAAATTTAATCACATACCTTGTTTAAATAAAGTTGAGTAGGCAATTTATGAACAAATAGTTTTGACCTTTCCGTCTCTTTGTAAAATAAAAATCTTAAAATATGTCTTATTATTATTATTATTTTTTATAATTTTATAAGTCTTTTCTTTTATAGCAGAAAAGATCAAATCATGGATAAGAGATAACAATAAATGTCTTATCCACTAAACTATATTCGAATTTGTTACTCAGTCAACCCTATTAGCTAACTACTAGTAGCAAGTAACATACTTTTCAAGTTGTTAAAAAAAGGAAAAATTGCATATGCTTTTGCAATGGGATCCATCTCAAATTACAAATCCTTTGCACTTTGAAAAAGTTTATCTAAAAGTAATTTTATTTTCTATTAATTATAGACGTTGAGGGAGAAACCCAAACAGGACACGCGTCAAATTTCAGGAGCAACAATAAGACATAGGACCACAAATGGTTAACACCATACTCTGTGCAGGCGTACAAACACATCGCCACCATAGCTGTACGAAGGAGGATGGCAACCTGAAACCTGCAGTCTGCCGAGGAACATACCTGCAAGTGGAGGCACCACCCACTAACTGTCGAGAGCATCCGCGCATCCATCAGGGCCTCGTACAGCTCGGCGTGCCTCTGCACCCAAAACCGTCATCCTTCATTGTCGGCCACCTGCACCTATAAAATTGAAGGACTCCTATCACCACGGGGTAAGTGAAAAACCTGTCACTTAAATCTCAAGATGTCTACTCCAATTTTATTACTCTGATTATTGACTTGAACATCAGAGTGTATTAGGCGAGACACCGCACCAACGTCAAGTTTTTCGGTTGGAAGCTCATTTACTCCTCGATGAACATTCTTATTCGGAGGACACATAAACCCGTCCAAAATTCACCATAAACAATAGAAATAAAGTTATGATAACAAGATTGTTGGGAAATTGATTGACTTGAATAATTTCCCCTTCCACAGAAAATATCCAACACAACTAAGAATATGCAAATATGAAGAAAAATACGACATGGCAAATTATACTGGTTCACCACTAAGAGCTGCATCCAGTCTTCCACTCAGGTGTGTGTAATTCACTAATATTGTTTAGGATTGGATACAATAACACTCTTCATAATATCTCCTAGAGGTCTCAACAAAAGCCCTCTAGTTTCTAAGTATTTGACACAATTAATACTTAGGAATAGGAATGAAAAACTCACAGAATCAAGATACAATTACCCGATAATATCGATCTTGATCAACCCCAAAGCTTCTACCAATGCCCGAGCCGCTACCACTGATTTGCTGCCAAAACCCACTCAAAATCGGTTGCAAATAACCCCTTGTTCGGCTGGTAAAACTCTAAAATCAAAAG